ATAAAAAACATTTAAAAATTAAAAATAAGCACAGTTTATCTGGCCACAAAAGTAATAAAAATGTAATTTTCCTTAAGAAATAGCAAAAAGAATGCAAATTTAATGTGAAGGATGGAGCTGCATCTTACAGTCTCATTCTTCCTCATGAAAAAGGAACCAACACTATTCAGGAAATATATTCTTGTTCAATGCAATTCATTATCCCAATGTTCGCTGCTTTCAATAAGTTTAAACACACTATTTTTTGTTCAGCTGGAAAACTCCATTTCTCAAATGTAGTGTCTTGTTGGATCCTTTTGGCAGTCATTGAAATAAAGGCTAAAGAACCAATCATGGAATTGGAGGAGGGAATGACTGCATCCATTTCTGAATGCAGGTTGTGCCTCTCCATGAAGACACATCTTCATAATCTTTATATCTTCTTTTAAAATGACTTAAAAAGTTATGGGTTTTTGTGGACAAGGAAAGTCCTTGTGTCCTTATAAGTGGGTTAGACAAATTCCTGGGGTATAAAGTTGTTAGTGACTACCAGGCATGATGGCTAAATGGATCAGGTATTAGAGACAATACGTCTCTTAGTACCAGTTTGTAAGGGAAGCAAACAGTAAGTTGTATTGTCCTTTTATCTTCCTTGTGGACTTCCCAGTTGGCCATTTTGGGAATAAAATCCTGGGCTAGATAAAGGTAAAGGTAAAGGTTCCCCTTGACAATTTTTGTCCAGTCGTGTCCGACTCTAGGGGGCGGTGCTCATCCCGCTCTTCAAGCCATAGAGCCAGCGTTTGTCCGAAGACAATCTTTCCGTGGTCACATGGCCAGTGTGATTTAGACACGGAACGCTGTTTACCTTCCCACCGAGATGGTACCTATTTATCTACTTGCATTTGCATGGTTTCGAACCGCTAGGTTGGCAGGAGCTGGGACAGGAAACGGGCGCTCACTCCATCGCGTGGATTCGATCTTACGACTGCTTGGTCTTCTGACCCTGCAGCACAGGCTTCTGCGGTTTAGCCTACAGCGCCACCACGTCCCTCCTGGGCTAGATAAGTCTTTGGTTTAATTCAGTAGCGCTCTTCATGAATTCTTAGCCCTTTGTGTAGATCACAGATGGCATGGCTGGGAACTGCAGTTGGATCTTTGGATGGTGTACAAGAGAGCAGGAAGGATTTCTGATTCCCAGCTGTTCAACAGCAGTAGAACAAGTTGAGAAATTCTCTTGCCATGATACTAAATGATACTATTGAAATGAAGAAAGGAAACGTGGGAAAATCAGGAGTAGATTTTTGTGTGGATGAGCTGTGAGCTCTGTTTAGTCCTCGTACTTGAAGGAAACCACTGGGCTTTCTTCCTCCCCACTTTATTCTTGTGAAGTAGGTCAGGCTGAATGAGAACCACTGGTCCAAAGTGACCCCATCAAGTCCATGGCTTGGTACATACGTGACCTGCCAAATGGTGGCAGCTGCTGTGAGCCACCATGGTGGTATGGTTAGAATATTAAACTAGGGCTTGAGTGACTTGGCTTTAAATCCAGGCACAGCTGTGAAGCTTACTTTGAAATCCTTGGGCCAGTCACCTCACCTATTTCAGAGGATTGTAGCCCTGAAGGTCAAATCTCAAAAAAAATCTCTTGAGCTACATGTGGCTCATCAGATATTTTTTTTGAGATTTGACCTTCAGGGATATATATATAGGGTTTTACTGCATGCAAATTATGATAACATACAACTCTGCAAATTTGCACCTCCATGGAGAAATTTCTGTTGACATTCTTGTACAATGCCTTGAAGTTTGAGAAGGTTGTGAGATATAGAACATACAGAATACTAACAGCTTTTACTGTATGGGGGTGAACACACAAATGCACATTCTCTAACCTGCATGAACATAATGTTGTAAAACTGCATTATTTTGGATGCATTTTCTTATGTGAAGTGTTTTACAGATGTTCTCACTTTTTCCCAAGCAATACTTTTAAGATGGAGTCAGCTACCCCCACATTGTGTCTCTCAAAAAAAAAAATCTCTTGAGCTACATGTGGCTCATCAGATAGCCAGCAACCACTTGTTTCTGATATTCTGGCCAGATTGAAGGAAGAAGAGATTTATGGTGCCCAGTGTGGGCCATCATACAGTACATATACAGTAGGCTGCGTTGGGTTTGATAAAGGTAGGTCTGATGGCAAGGCAAGACCTACCATTAGCAAGAGTGATGCAGCCACCTCAGATCTAGCCATCATGAAAGAATAGCAAATTCTTAGATACTTAATTTGTAATTATTGTGTTTTTACTGCCAGGAAAATAGAGAAAAGTACTTAGGGTATTGGTTTACTTGATGGGCCTGGGAAGTTATTGACCTGGGGAAGTAGGATCATGTGCCCTAGGCAGCAAAATTCTTGGGCTAGTCCTGCCTCATGGAAATTGTTATTATTATTCATCAGTCTTTCATAGTATTTGTTCCAGATCTTTCCTCCTACTCCTTGTTTCAAATTAATGCTTGGAAAAACATAAATTGTTCCAGATAAGTAATATTTTTATTATAAATTACTTGTTTTAAATTAAATTAATGAGCAAAGTGAGTTTTAAAGTATTTATATCTATATTTGAATGGTGAAAGTTGTGTATATTTTAACTTTTTTTTGTAGTGTTGTCCAGTTTTACCTTGGGGAAGAGCACCTCATTTCGTTGCACCCACTTGTGAGCGCAATGACAAATAAATTTCTTATGTCTTTTAAATTAAATTAATGAGTAAAGTGAGTTTTAAAGTATTTCATCATTGCTTTAGAATGCAGACACCTTCTAAGCAAGAGTGAAAGATATGTGGACAGCACAGGATTTCACCAGGCTGAATGCTGGTATTTCAGAGCACCATAAAATGGAACTTCATTTTTCACAGAAAGTTCTTATCTGAAATAAAAAGCGAAAGAGGTCCAATGAGGATGAAGCTCTGAGGAATTTTTGTTTTTCCAGTCATATCTATTTCTCCCTCCCTGTGGTACCCCCATTTTCCGGCCTGGGCCACCATTACAGTAATTTTTGAAAAGTTATCAGTAATAAACATGCTCCTGATAGGAAGCTAAGAGCCAGGAGGAAGTTAAAGTCATTTCTCTTAATTTGTAGTCCTGTATGCAGCCGAAGTAAAACAAATCAACAAGCACATTACTCTTCATTAGCTGCGACTCTTTCCTCCAAGTCTTTACTTCTCATGTATGTCCCCCCCCCTCCTTCGTCTGCATCCCAGGCTTTTATCACCAGGACACTTTGATAAAAGTCCTGTTTAGTTGTGTGACATTGCAAAAAGGGTTTCAACACACAAGAACATTCTCACCCTCTCCAAAGTATTCAGTTTTTGTCTCACTTCTACTAAAGAATTCCTATCCCAGGGGCATTTTTATTTTATTTTTTTTAACTCCAGTTGAATGTTGTAAGTCTACATTAATACATTTATCCCAACTAAATTTTTAATAAACACTGAACCAGTTTAGACATCACCTAGTCTTTCCTTCCCACCCCTTCCCTAGGATTAGGGCTGGGTGAAGTACAGGATTAAGGAAAAGGACATGGTTCAGAAGAAAATGATGTTCTTATTGATCAACATCTTGCTGCAATAGGCATGTTTGTTGGATACATGGATACAGTTCTGAGTATCTGAAATAAACATAGAGCACGGTTACACATACTCTCCCCCCCCCGATTTTGAATTGAGTTTAGAATGTTTACCGTTGATCTAGAAAATTCCATCTACGTGATGCACAGGGAACTGCATGTGTTGTCCTCTAGGAAATATATCGTTTGGTCAGAAAGTGAAGTATTTTTACTGGGTAGCAAGAGGATCATTTATTTTAACATGCTTGTAAAATCAGTTTATTTTGAATGGTTTTGGCATTTGTGAATGCCTTTGTTGTTATAAATGGCGTCTGTGGAGTTTGTCAAGTAATGGGTGCCAGGATCACTGGTTTCAGGCTGGAAGAAAAAAATTACAGTCTAATCTCTTCTTTTCTGTCTGTACTGCTGGTATAGCTATATGCCAGTTTGAAAGAAATTTTTTTTAAAACCCTGGAAGCCAGTGTGAAGAGGAAAATACTCCCTCCCTTGCAAGCCTCCCATCTGTTCATTAGCTTCCTCACTCAGAAGTTTTCAGGCAAGGAGCCTCTGTCTGATATAGTGATATGCCAGTCTGAAAGAAAGAAAGAAAATCCACTCAGCGCTGGGAGGGGGGAAGTGCTCCATCCTTTACAAGCCTAGAAGCTAATGGGCTTTGTCACTGTCTCTGGTTAATTTCTCTTGCCTTCCCTCTTAATAGTGCTGGCTGTCACTTCGTTGTTCCTCCCTCCTCCCGCCTATCCTCACTCAGAAGTTTTAAGGCAAGGAGCCTCTATCTGACAGAGTGATATGCCAGTTTGAAAGAAATAAAAAAATGTAAAATTAGAACATTAAAAATAACATCACAGCAGCAGGGGTGGGTAGACAGCACGAGTGCGGACGGGTGCCCATCAACTGATACAGAACATTGCATAAAACATATTGAAAGTTTTCCCAAGAGGACAACACACTGACTCAAATAACGTGTGACTACCACATGACTATAACTCAATTTCAAAAATCTCAATCCAGTAATTGGTCACTCATTTTCATAGTGTAATCTTGCTCATATATTTTGATTTTGAAAATGCTAGCATGCAGTGCCTCTGGCTCCAACTCCTGTCCACAGAGAAGCAGGTGGACTTACAAGGTGTTCATGTATTGTAGCCCTAACATTCTTTGGAGAAAGGGCCCAAGCAGGTTGCATTGCTGAAGAGAGGAGCCATATCAAACTTTGATACACATTTCTACCTTCATATGATTATTAGATGTTAAAATCTATTAACATTCACAATTGAAAGCTGAAATGTTGAATATAAATGCCTCAGGACGGCTTTCCTAGAAATAACTGGAAACATGATGTTTCTTACAACTAACAGTTACGAAACATGCCTCTTAATAGATGCCAGTATTGTAACGCAGAGCAAGCAACAGGACACAAGAGCATCTCATTACTTTGAGCAGTGCTTATAAATAAAAAATTAGTGTGAGGCCGTGTGACTGCGAGCCTTGCATTCAGCATCCTGACTTCTTCTGAGATGTAATGGACACCCATGCCTTGACACTGAGGGAGACACATGATTCCATCCAGGACCACAAATCCTAAGCAACAACCACAGGCAGAGTTGAAAGGGTTAAAGTCATGGGTTAGTCACATGTGTCCAGCAACAGCATGAGGAACATGCATTTTAACTATGATTAAAGATGAATATATATATATACTGTGAATTCTGGATAATGGGTGATACGGTGCCTGCCTCTTCCTTGATAGCAATCAAGACATGTCTTCTTTTCTGGCCATCATGAGTATTTCATTCAAAAACTAACACTTTTCCAGAAAATTGAGGTGCCAGAACTGCTGCTTTCTTAGGGACAGTGACTAGAGGGCCACCTTCCTCTTAAATTAGCAGATCGGCACTGACTTCAGCCAAGGCTTTTCTCAGCTGTGTGCTCACTGAGGCCAGATGATTCTGTGGAAGCCGCTTAGAGATTGAAGGTGCTGATGTGGCGGGCAGGGAGAACTCTTTGATTCAAGCATTCCAGCCTTCTTCTTCTCGTCAGTGTTTACATAAACCTGAGAAAAACTGCCACTGCTGCGCACCTCTCCCATTTTTCAACCTTAATGATAATTACATTCTACGCATGACAGGAGATTTAGCATTGCATTCAAGACTGGGAGTCTGTAATATTAGCTTTGACATGCCACTGCCATGCATTAGGTCACCATTATTTCATAGGCTGGGCCTGTTGGTCTTGGAACTCACCAAGCCAAATGCGGCCCAACAGCCATGTATGGAAGCCCACTGGCTCAAAACAACAGCCCTCATATTTTGGTTAACAGTGTGGCAGAATCCCATAACCGGCAGGTCTATAATATGAATTTTGCATACTAATAACTCCTAGATAATTATCCTGGAATTTTTCATATTTGTAATTAAAAGCAAGTGGTCATTCGAGATGTAATCTTTTTTAAAGGGACTGATATTAACATTAATAATAATAATCTTAGAACTGCAGAGCTGGAAGGGACCCTGTGAATCATAAAGTCCAACCCTTGTCAAGGAGGCATAGTGGGGAATTGAACTTCCAACTTCTGCCTCCATACACAGAAAAAAAAGTAGGGGTGCGAGTAATCACCCTTGTTTTACCCCTTAGTATGAATTTCCTCTGTCAGCCTTTCATCTGTGCTAATCCTTACCCTCAATGTTGTGTTGGAGTATAGTTCTTGTATTAGGGTTAGGAGTCTCTTATCGATGTTGGTCTCTGTGAGCTTATCCCACAGGGGGTTTCTGGTGAGTGTGTCAAATGCAGAGGAAAAGTCAATAAAAGCTGTGAACAGCCATTTGAACGGTCTGGTGGTATATTTGCATACAAGATGATGTAGCACGTAGATTTGATCTACTGTGCTATGGCCCTTCCTAAAACCTGTTTGTTCCCGGTGAAGGGTGTTATTTTCTTCCATCCATTTAGCCAACTTCTGAAAAAGAAGGCAGGCCATACCCAGAAAACTAAACCACTGAATGACAATAATTATTTAACAGGAGTGATTGGCATTATTGGGAGTTAAGACCAGGTAAAGTTCTGCTAAATCTAAACACTTATCAGCTTTGAGATGCTCGAAATTCTTTTTTGATTTCTGTCCCACTGGTGTAACTTTTTGATTGTCATTCTGGCTGTGTCCTTGCGCTAGAAGAGGACTGCCCCTGACATCACATTGTTCTTCTCTCACTGAACTCCTTCTTCACCCCTCTTCTGACTGTCCTGCTGGCAGACGTCTGATATTAGCCAGTAGAAGAAAATAACAGGATGACCGCCAAACAGATTTATTTCAGTGTGATCTTTTATGGATTATAATCCACTTTGTCACAAAGGTGGGGTGAAATATTTAGCCACAGATTTATATACATTGTGGGGTTGGGGATGTAGTGAAGATGCATAATGACACAAATAATGAACTCTGAGAGGGTTGATTTCACATTGCATGTTCAAATAAGGTAAGCAATATGCTGAAATTCCAGAATGTGCCAACATATATTATTAAGTACTGTATGTTTCTTTACAGCCTTGTGTAAAGGCTGTAAAGAAAAAAAAGTTAGTGCTCTAGACTCAAAAAACCAGAAACTGATCCAGAAAAATACCATCTGTTTCCTTACTCATCATCTTTGCTCTTCAAAGAACATCCTGTATTACCTGATAGACAGATAATCACTCTAGCAATGATGAGGATGTTTATGTAATCATAATCAACATTCTAGGAGATAATTAATTGTGTTAATAATGGTATTGTGGCAGCCATAACCAAGGATGTGGAATTAAGACCAGAAAACACAATATAATAATGTCAGGACATAAGTAAATTGATAATATCAAAGGCTTGAAAAGTTACCCTTCAGGGCTGTTGACTCTTCGAATTTCTCAGTCAACGTGGTCACTGCACAATAAAAAGACAAAAGCATTAAAAAAGTGTTGCTGAATTTTGGGTAGATTTCGCAAGCAGCGAAGCAGAAGTGCAGGGATTCATGGAGCAGAATAACTTCAAGTTCCTCAATTTAGTGCATCTGCTTTTTCTCATCAACTGGCACTTATAGTCTCAATAACTCACTCTGAGACATTAGTAGGAGAAAGAATAAAAGATTTCACTTACAGTTGAACAGATCAAACTGCAAACTAAGAACAAATATGACTGTGTGCTTTTCAGCAACAGGCCTCAACTGACTTGCTATTTCCAACAGACCCCAGAGATGGAAAGAGCTAGAACAGTGAGGCAGGGCTTGTAGCGCACTGTAGGACTCTGTGTGTGTGTGTGTGTGTGTGTGTGTGTGCGTGTGCGTGTGCGTGTGCGTGTGCGTGTGCGTGTGTGTGCGTGCATCAGAGTGAGTGAGCGAGAGAACCTGTGAATGTCCCAGAGTAAGTTGTGCACCATACATATAGATAACATCACTCTGAGCCAGTAGGCACTGATGCCTGTTGGTAGATGAGTGGAAGAAATGGGTACCCAGGCCTTATAGTAACGGTGCACAATGAAATCCAATGTTCTCCTCCAATGCTGTTTGCTTGAAATTTGCCTGACTGCAGACCCAAAGAGATTTCAGATGACCTAGACAAACTCCCTCCCCCACCCCACATCTCTCTTCTGGCTTCCATCCCTCAGGGTCTGATACCAAAGGAGATTGCTGCACTTTGCCTAATGGGTAGGGCTGTCCCTGTAAAATGGACAGTGTGCATCATACAGAACTGATTACTCTTTTTTAACAACATTGACCAATCTAATAAAACCCAGAACAATAAAATCCTTTATTTTAAAATGAATATCTGGTTCTGATCTGATCCAGATAGTTTTCTCTGCCTTCTGGCTTTGTTAGGCTTATTTGGAAACCATATACAAATATTAGTGCTTACAGACAGGAAGGAGAAAGACATAATTTTGGTAGATAGAGGTCCTTCTTTGCATTTGAGTAAAAAGAAATCCAACCTAAGGCTTGCCCAAGCCATTTTGTTGCCTGGAGTGAAGAACAAGATAGATTCTCCTGCAATTCTTTATACAAAGGTCAACAACTGGTAATTAAATCATTCTTTATACTCACTGCACCTGAAGGTAGCAGATTGGTTTAGAGTAGTGGTTCCCAATAATTCCTGGTCTACAATTTCTGAATTACACTTCCCAGAAATTCTGGCCAGCACATCTAGCGTTGAAGGCTTCTGGGAGTTTTTGTCTAAGAACATCTGGGAACCCAAGGTTGGCAACCACTGAAAGGTGCTTTTGCTATTGCGTTTTAGGACTCACATGAAGCAACAGGGTGTTGGCCTAACCTGAATACCACCAGAAAAAAACCACCTCATGTAGATTAATCCAAAGCATTGTTTTTAATTCTCAAAGTTTTAACCAGCTTGATGTCAGGAAGTCAGAAAAACTGCCCCTTTCCAGATGTGACTACCAAGAACTGGGGTTCTTCAGCAGAGGCCCTGTTGCAGATCCTACCACCTCAAAAGGCACAGGTCTTTCTTTATAGCCACACCTTGATTATGGAAATCTCTTCTGAGGGAAGTTGGGCTAGCTTTGGTCTGCAACTTCTCCTGTAGCTCCACTCCTGTCGAACTGCCAGCAGGCAACGAAAATCGTATAGTTCCAAAATGCCTTTGTTCTTTGAGACTGGTTTTTAAATTGATTTAAACATCAAACCTGTTAGTTAAAATAACGTTTTGCATCTGTTTTAGTAATTGTACTGTAATCTATTGTATATGACTTTCAGAGCTTTGCTGAGCAAAAAAAAATCATATACATAAATACTTTTAATAAATGAAAAAAATAATAGTAAAAGGGCTGGGGCTGGCCCTGCTTCAATGATGATTTCAGTACACAAGTGAAAATCTATGAATATTCAACAAAGGACAGAGATGATCGTATCCTACACCTCTTACACTGAAAGGATGCCAATAGGATCCCATCTCCAAATCAAAGTATTTTTTATTTTCTTTTTGTCTTTAATTTAAGGGAATCTCCTTAAAAGAAATGCAGACCCAGTGCATATATACTGAAGTGACATCAAAGTTTTAATGGAAATGTACAGTACACAAATTACATTAGTTTCATTTGTAAAATTACAAATTTGATTTTAAAATTCCATGTTGCTTCCAAATATCCTTTTAACTACTTTCTGTTTCGTTTCAGGGGGTTTTAGTTTTAAGACTTTAGTTTTTCAATGGGCCTTTTTATAAAAAAGGGAGAAGAGAGAAGAAAGGAACATTAAAGGGGAAAATATTGATCGGTTCCTGTAATGGAAATGGAATCTCTGCTCATCCTAATTACTGTGAGCATTATTACTCTTGTCATCAGTGCTGTCATAATGCCATAAAGTTTTTTTTTATTCCCCTAGCACAAGAGGACGGTCCAGGAGCAGAAAGAACAGTGTCTGTTTTCACTGTATTTTCAATGGGATCCTTAAGTAGCTCCCCCGTTCCAGTCAACAAAATTGCAGTTCCATAAACCTGAAATTCCCTGTGTGTGATAAAACCCCAGTGTGTCCGGGTAATGGTCAAGGGTTGGGTGCTTCTCACCTGCACTTTATCCCAGGCTTCCTCAAGAGAACTCTTGCTACCTTGGCTGTGATGTCCAGATACTTTTGTCACCAAATGGCACCCGTTAGTCTGCAGGTGAAACTGAAGGTGGAAGAAGGGCCAGAGACAGGGTAGGAAGGCAGTCCTAGGTTGGATCCATAGCTCGCAATGTGACAGAAATACTGCATGTTGGGAAAAAAAAAGCATGAACATAGTTCTTAGAGATGTGATTATTTTTTAAAATAATATAAATTCACTTCTCCCTTGAATTGCACAGATCTGAGCAGCACAGTTTTATACACAGCTCCCCCAAACAAGCAAGCAAGCAAACAAAGTGCTGTTCTTCCTCTCCATGAAGTGACCTGAGAAAGTTGTGTCTTGGGCTTACCTAGGGTCCTGTTGTTGGCAGTGCAGCAGCCCCCGGTCTGATTCTGCAGTTGAGCTGGCCCCCAATGCTATCATGGTAATTCCATGTGGCAGCTGGGGAAGGTACTGGGGCATTCTGGGTGGCTGATGTGGATTGGGGGAAAGGTGTGTGTGTCTGTTAATCAACTGTTTATAGTTTGTAGTTACATTTGGGGTGTATAAGAGTTATACACAGATTTTGGACTACATAGGGGTGGGAGAAGTCCAGTGCCCCTAACTCCAGTGTTGTTAAATGGAGACGTGTACTCTCTAGGGAACATGACTGAAAGAGGAAATAAAATACTTGAAGAGAGACGTCCCCAGGCCTACAATAATGCCTTGGTACAGCCATTTATCTTGAGAAAAGCCACAACGTTCAGCTTATCCTCCCTCTGAAAATTGTCCAGTGATCCAAAAGTCACTTTTCTCCCTTTCCCTTGTCACTCACCAAATTAGCACCCCACTTCCACACCTGCCCCCTCAGTTGGTTGCTCAACTTTAGATTAGTGTGCCTTTCATGTTAAGGGCTGAAGAGGATTTCCCCCTCTTTGGTAATAAAAACATAATAACAGAGCAGCTGCGTAACAAGTTGTTGCCCTTTCATCAGTTCCAAAGTGCAATATATTGCCTGAGGTGGATGCTTCATTCTGTTTAATGTTACTCCACAAGCACTGATGAGCTCCTGGAAATTTCAGGTAAATTTCCATCCAGGAGAAATTAAAATGCCAAATTCTCTCTCTCTCTCTCTCTCTCTCTCTCTCTCTCACACACACACACACACACACACACACACACACACACACACACACACACTTCTGTGGGGACGGGGAAATGAAATGCCTTTCTTTGCAGGCAGAATGAGTTGACCTGGTGATTGTTGGCACTCTGTTTTTCAATCTTCAGGCAGAAAGAAAGACTTAGCCAATCAGAAAGATTAAGAGTGATGAGGTTGAGGTTCAGCTCTGATATGAAGCGATTTAACACTTGGCTGTGCAAAACATTTAGCGGGCAGAGGGCTTCCTTGTGCCTTCATTGAAGCAGAAAATCAGGCTGAAATTATCTAAAATAATGGCACCCTTTAGGAGCTTTCATGCCATAAAGTTTCATTAAGCTGACACTACCTTCGTTTGGCACTTTGAACTTTATACAGAGGGATGTGGCCTTCCAAATACAATCTAAATTAAGAGGAGCTGTTTTCACTCCAAGTAGGTAAAACAGCAACATGTATGACCAAACTGTACGCCAGACCTGAAAAGTGAAGCTAGTCTGTGTGTAAGCTCACCAAATCCTGCAAGTGCTACTCTTTTGGAAAGCAGGCCAGAGAGACAAAAGACTCCTTTAAAAGTCTGCTAAATGCAAGGATGCTGCTAATTTTTGCAGGGCTGCTGCATAGAGGGGAGAATGTTTAACCCTTTCCCTATTCTCTGTTTTTCCAATCTAAATTATTGCCTTTTCCATTTCTTACTTGCTGTCTGAGGGAAAGTTTAGGCATGATCAGAGATACAGAAAGTTCTTTTCAGGACTACAGCCACTGGCCACACAGGTTGGAATATTCTGGGGGCTGGGGGCCAAAAAATTAAATTCTCCAATTTCTGGTCATGATGCCATCATTGTCGTTGTCATCATCAACAACAACATGTGCCATCAAGCAAATTCTGACTTACAGATGGCTGTATTGTTCAATATTGCAAAGCAATTTGCAGGTAATAATTAGGGATCAGTTATTTGTAACTTTTTACTTTCCACTTCTGTTGAGAACCAACATTCAAAAGCAGGAGGCAGAATTGTGAAACAAACTGAAAGTGAAGACTGAAGGCTTGCCACAGGATACAGATATACCCCGGAGACAACCAAAGCACCCTGGAATAGGAAGTCACCTTGTAGTCCTTTCTCTTTAGGAAGATCCATTTACTGTATGGGACGGATAGGTAAGCAGAATTAATTCAGTCCCTGGAGATACTAAATTATCTAAACTGAGGCTGAAACATGTGTTTCAGCTGCAACTGCACATAGAAGAAAGGATCCTGGAGCTCTATTAGTGTCTATATTTACCCCACTGCTGGATTGTTGACCATACTGAGGCCTTGACATGAGTGTTCAAAAACTGAACAGAGTGCACCATCTTGCATTCTGTTTATCCGCAAAGAAGATGAACATTTTTCTTCTGTCTGAGAGTACTTAGCACCTTTTAAGTGGGATTTGGCATTATTTCCAAGGGGAAGCTCATGTCCTTTCCCCTAAAAGCAGCAGACTACTGTTGCTGCCATTTCCCCCCAATATTTGTTGTACATGATGCCTTGCTGCCGTCATCAGCTTGCTCTTGGAAATCATTTTGTTCAACAGTCCTACAGCACTGACCTCTCGGAACTGGGTTACAAAGCTAACAATAGTGTCACTTCCATCAGTTAGAGCAGTGGTTCCCAAGCTTGGGTAACCCAGATGTTCTTGGACTGCAACTTCCAGAAGACTTCACCACTAGCTCTGCTGGCTGGGATTTCTGGAGCTGCAGTCCAAGAACACCTGGGTTACCCAAGCTTGGGCATGACTGCATTAGAGGACAGCAGTAGACACTCAGCCACCTCAGTGCAAACAGGGATTATGATTAACTAGTATCTATTGGGAATAAAGAGCCATTTATTAGACTATAGCTGGACTTGAACTATCACAGGCCAAATATTTGGTTTTGTTGTCCTGTGTAACGCTGCAGAGGCTAGTCTTCCACACCTCAGTTTATTAGTGCTAGCAGCATTCACAGTACGTACGGCACAACAAAAGCAGGTGGAATGCCAGAAGTATTCCAAATTTAAACAAAGGTCAAAAGAAGAAAAGAAACAAGCAAGCAAGCATACAAGTAAGTACTGTAAGTAAGTAAGTAAAAGTGTTTTTAAAGCTTTGTTTGAAAGTGTTTACTGAAAGGTAGTTGGTTCAGAAGTATTTTCTGAAAAGGAATGGTTTGATTGCTTTGAATCCATTCAGACTTGTTAGATAGATTCTGCAGTTTAAATTCTGGTTCTAGGTGGGCATGGGTTTTAACAGTATCTGACTGCTCCTGTTTCTTCCGATTGGTCAAAACTAGTTCAGTACAAACTAAAAGTTGCCATAGAAAAGAGGCACTATAATATAGAGATTATTTTGTACAGTCAGCACATTTCGAAGACTGTGCAATAATTTTATACTAACAGTATTAATTAGAGTTTTCAGTAATGACGCTGCAAAATTGAGTGCACCTAAGCTGGGAAGGGAAACTTGTGCCTTTTTCTGTTACTGCTGGATGGCAAGTGCCATCATCCCTTACTACTGGATAGGAATCATGGGAGTTGTTGTCCAGCAGCTTCAGGAGAGCCACACATTCCTCAAGTTAAACCAACCGAATAAACTCAATTGCACCTAACTGCACAGGATGAGGCCGTGATGCAAGACAAATAGTACACAAGGGTTCTCTCTGCAACTGAAGGTTAACTTTAGGCAGGGGGGGAGTCACCTCAACATTCAGAGGAAGAAATGAAGGCTAACTGACAGTTTTTTCCAGCCCCTGACAGCTTACAATAAATATCTAGATGATAGTAGGTTGATTCGTATTAATATATGGCATAACACACAGATTCTCCCACCGCCATAAAATGTTCACATCTGGACCTGGAAACAACCTGTCACTGTACAGCCTGGTAGCAGAATGCCTCGGAGTGGGGTAAGGGAAAATATTCATGTGTCTTGTCCCCTGGCCGACCTGCTCCCCTGCTAAATCCTACATGAGAAAAAGGAGAACAGGAATCCTGTGCCTTTCATAGTTGTGTAGCAGCAGGAATCTCAGCAGGTATAACTTGTCACGCAAGCTCCACTTGCTGACATCTTTTCTTCCATTCAACTATTAAAAGTATGGGAGCTCCAATTCACATGCTGTTCCCCCAATTCTGAGACTCTTGTCCTGGAATGTCAAAAGGGCTCCTGATCCATTTAGGAGATGAAGATACAGAGCCCTGTAGTAAGTGACTGTAGTGCCCATTGGTTTTGCTGCCCATTGGTTGGGTGACAGGTGACTGGCATATCTGGGGAGGAGAAGATACTGCTGGCCATATTCCTTCCTTGCCAAGGAATGTTTCCTCTAATTTTCTGAAGTATTGGGCAGGAACCCCCCCCATGGAGTCCCAGCTGCAACTGGGAGCAAATGGGCAGTGACACTGGCTCAGCTGTATGACCTCGATGGAGCCCTGTGCGCCCACTTGGCTTAGAGGGAAAGTTGCTGCCAAGTCTGCCTTCTGTATGTTTCCCTCTGCTCAGGGAGGAGTAACTGAAGGGCTATGTGTGTGCTTGGAGTGGGCAAATTCATATTCCTTATGCAGCAATGATTAATGCCCTGTAAATTTCATTGCACTGGATCAAAGCCCTGGTTTTTCTGCCATAGTTAGAGCTCTGGGGATTCACTACATCTTTACCTGAGGTCCTATTTGTACAATAGTGGCCTGGTGGTTTGAAATGATGCTTGAGCACTGAAGTGTATCACACGGTGTCACTCCTGCAAATCCATCCTTAAGAAGAAGCCCCACAGATGTCAGTGGGATTTACTTCAAAGTAAAAAAGGTATCAGTTTGGACTGTACAACTTCATGTCTTCATGGCTATAAATAGTTAATTACACTATATGGTACTGCTAATTTGAAAACTGGGAAAGAATATATATATTTGGAACTAAGCTTAGTCCTAGCCATTGAAATCAATGAGTTTTGCAACACTTATAATTGATGGAAGTTCCTGTTGATTTGGGA